TCCATGGCAACTTTTTTTTTTTTTTTTAACAACACCATTAAACCAAACCTGTTGCTGTCAACTCATGGCAACCTCATGTCTTACAGAGTAGAAATTCACGCCCCAATGTTCTTTTCTTGTATCATACTAGATTGTATGGCAACTTTTTTTTTTTTTTTTGTTAAGGTCTATGAAGCCTGACAGATGGTTCTTAACTTACCTCTCATAGTAAGTCCAGTCATTCTTGAATCCTGAAGTGAACCCTTCATTGAGATGCTGGTGTCCAAAAGTGGATGCCCTGAACATGGCCTTTTCTGAATCATTGGGAGCCCTTGCCAAGGTATGCTCGTCCCAGCGACATTTTCTTAACCTACATTTGCAAAGCTCTCCCTGACCATTCCACATCATAGTGCTGCCATCAGGCCTCTTCAGGAGTTCCGCCAGGGGGAACCATTAGCCACAGAAGGATACAGGGTGAAAGGGTAGAAAGGAAGAGACGAGAAGTATTGAGGGCCGCAAGTAAGAGACACTGGGAAGAGGAAAGAGTCGGGGGAAAGTATTCCTCAGGTTGTCTTGAGAGAGGTAGCATAGTTTTGAACAGTGTGAACCCATATTGTGTTCATGGGACCCCAAGAGTTTCAGGAAGATATCTCAGGATGTAAGGTGGGCTAAGTGGATTTTTCTCCCCATCCCTCACTTCAGCCTCAGCAGCTTAGCATAGTGCCTGTCACATTTGATAAACTCAGATCTCTGCTAAAATGTCACCCCATCATAGAGGCTTTTCCTGACCACCATATCTGAAATACCAACCGCTGACCCCATCTTGCCCCATGACCTGCTTTATGTTTCTCTGCAGCGCTTTTTACCACCTGCCATGTCATATATTAATTAGTTTACTGTCTCCCTCCCACTCCCACTGGAATTTAATCTCCATGAGAGCAGGAGCTTTGCCTGTTTTGTTCTCTACTGAATTTCTAATACCTGGTGCCTGGCCCATGGCTAATGCTCAATAAGTATTTAATGAATAAGCCAATAATCTTTTTATTCCACAACCCGTCTGTCAGTTTGTCATACTGTGGTGGCTTGTGTGCTGCTATGGTGCTGGAAGCTATACCACGGATACTTCAAATACCAGTAGGGTCACCTATAGTGGACAGGTTTCAGTGGAGTTTTTAGACTAAGACAGATTAGGAAGAAAGGCCTGGCAATTGACTTCTGAAATCAGCCAATGAAAACCCTATGGATCACAACAGAACTTTGTCTGATATAGTGCTGACGATGAGCCCCCTAGGTCAGAAGTCACTCAGAATAGGACACAATTGCTGCAACAATGGACCCAAACATACCAACCATCATGAAGGTGGAGGCAGGTCCAGGCAAGATTTTGTTCTGTTATACATAGGGTCACCATGAGGAGTTGGAGCCAACTTGATGGCAACTAACAGCAACAACAATCTTTTTATTATCAGAGAGCCTTTTGAAGCCCATCATGTCCACCCGAGCCATGGTTTAGCTGGTAGCAGATACCGTTTCTGTCTGGCCATAGAATTCTCGAATGTCCAGTCCCGTCTGGGCCCTCCATTTCTCCAGAGTGTCTGGAAGAAGAGTGTCCCCTCCACTGTAGCAGTACTGTAGGTGTGGGAACTTGTAACTGAAGAAAGGAAGAGAAAGAAGTGTTGCCCGTGAGCCTTCTGGTACCAGACTCTGCCCCGGCTAGGTTCTGGGTGTTTTGACAATGAGGTTGGCTTCATGAGGCCACCCATGCTCAGAGAGTCAGAGAGATGAGCATCTAGTAGGTGTATGTGTTGGGGTAGGGGGACAGGAGGATAGGCCACTAGATCTAGAGAGTCTTACCAGCCCCTAAGTTCCCATCACCTGGAAAGGTCCTGTTGTAGCAACATCTGGTAAACGACGGGAGCTCCTGCCATGATGTTGATTGGGTACCTGGACAGCACCTGGAGGAAGAGAGCCAACTGAGACACTGATCTTCAAGCAGATGCCAAACTCACTGGTATGGCACAATGGTTAAAACATATGCTATCGCATTGTGGAAGTCTGGATTTAAATGCTAGCTTCTTTGCTGTGCCTCTCTCTGGCCACACGAGCCCCCACATTCTCATGTCTCCCCAAGCTAAAAAATGACAGAGGGATGACCACCTGTCATTATAGAGAAAAGACCCAGGACTAATTATTTGGAGCAATCTTGTCAAATGTTGGCTGTCTATTCCATCCCTGCCCTTTTAACGACCCCCCCCCAATAAAAACACCCCTAGGATTACATAAAGCCCCCAGCCACCAAGGGAAGATCAGCCACTGATTCTGTCCCTAATCAGCTGTATTACTTTAGTTAAGCCCCTTTATAATAGACCAGCTTTGCAACAGACAGATTAGTTCTAGCCCTATTTACCAGAAAATATTCTTGGGAGATAATTCAGAAGAAATTTGAAAAGTTAAAAGCACTTACAGACATTTCCAAGAAAATGCTGCTAAAAATTGTTAGTACTGAATAGTTGACAGGCCCCATACTATCTCATTTACTTCTCACTATAACCTCATGCAGTGTATGTTACGATCCCCATTTTACAGTGGGAAAAACTGTAATTCAGAGGGTTAAGTAAGTTGACCAAGGTCACGCAGCCAGCAAGTAGAGAAAGCAGCATTTACAGCCTGCACTCTTAACCATTGTTTAACAGCACCTTCAACCCATGCTTAGACTTTATTACAAAGAGTGGTATAGGCAAAACGGTCTAGAAAAAATGATGAACATTTAAGCATCATATGATTATTTCCTCCAAGTGCCCTTTATGAACTGGCATACAGTAGGGAAATCATCCCACTTTCCTTATTGCCTTGCCTTACAGGAAACTCAGTGTGAAACTGCCTACTTATTTGCTGTGCTTCTCCTGGTCTTTTCCCCCCATACCTCCCACCTATGTTTCTCTAATGGGCTTTATAGTTTTGCACCTGTTTTCATGTTTTTTTTCTATTTGTGGCACTTAAAAAAAGCTACTTCAAATCTTTTTTGGAAGGAGATGAGTAAGAATGTGTTTAAAAGAGAGAATGACAGACTCTTTTGAAGAGAGTGTCTTGAAAGAAGCCAGGCCATGTCTAATCTCTGAGAATGTGATGACATCCTCTGTTGCCAACCAAACAGAAATCTAGGTGGGTAGAGGGCAGCTGACACAGAGGTCTAGAGGACCCAGAATGGCAATGGCCCAACCCTCCATCACAAATAGGGTTCAATAGACAATGTGCTATAATCTTTACAGGAGCAGACTGCCACATCTTTCTCCCGTGAGCAGCTGGTGGGTTTGAACCACCAACCTTTTGGTTAGCAGCTGGGCACGTAACCACTGAACCACCAGGTTCCTTTTCCTTTACTAAAAATTAGATGAGTTGAAATAAACTGCAGTCAATTGGAGGATATAAACATTAGCTTCACTCTGACCAACTAATGCAGATTGGATCCTCTGTTACCTTTAGAATGACCACTGGATCAAACTTTGGCAATTGATGGATAAAGATGCATGCTCCTGTTGCCCAAGGTTCCATTAATGAGCAAATTAAGTTCACGATCCAAGCTGTGTCTGTTACGTTCCATGTTACATCAGAAACTTGCAGGTCTTTCCATGTGCTGAGAACATAGAGGAAACATAAGTACATATATGTAAATTCATGCTGGGGTAGGGAGAGTATGAGTGTGTGTGTGTGTGTGTATGTGTGTGTGTGTGTGGGTAGGGGTAGGTAGGCGTGCACATGCATGGGTGTACATTACCTGAATGTATTTGTGTATGTTTTTAGGAGTGTGTGTAAGTGTAAGGGGCAGGGGGAAGGATAATTGTTCTATCCATACATCCTAGATCAAGAGGGGTGTTCAGAAGCTATGATCCTAGCTCACATAAGTTAACAGATAATTGCGTCTCATACATATCTTATCCCCAGAACTTTTTACAGTTCCTGGTATGTGGTGACTGCCCAGGAAATGTTTACTAGCTGAAAAGCATCTCACTAAACATGCTCACAGGGGCTTTGCCAAGTATAAGTTCTGCTGAGTAGTTCTTTGGTTCCTTTTTCTCAAAGCATCATGAATTGCCTGAGCACAATTGAGGTTCTTGCATAGGAGTGAAACGTGTTTCCTTTCTCTCTTCAGAGAAGAATAAAAGAGATTAGGTCTGTGTTACAGCAAAAAGAATTTAGGCTAAACGTGAAGAACTTCCTTGTGGCTGAAGTCACCATAGTAGGTGTCCTTTCCTGAAGATGAATAATACTTTCAGCTCTTTAAGAACAATTTTGAGGGGACTTATAAAAATAAAATTAGAGAACTTAATATCTTACTTACACGATCCATCACTCATCTTTTAAAAACTGCATTCTACTACAAAAAAAAAAAAACAAAACAAAAACAAAACCCAGTTGCCTTGGAGTCGATTCTAACTCATAGGCTTTTCAATGGCTGTGGCCTTTTGGAAGTTGATCACCAGGCCTTTCTTCTAAGGTGCCTCTGGGTGAATTCGAACCACCAACCTTTAGGTTAGTATCTAAGACCTCAACCATTTGTGCCACTCAGGGGTTCCCTATTCTGCTACAGCTCTTCTATTAAATAATTTTTATTAAACAATGTAATTTGCTTGTGCCACAGGCTCATAGTTGGGAAATTTACATTTCTAAAGTCTTTTTTGCACTAAAAATATTTTCCCAATTCTAATAGTAAGATTAAAATGGCAGGCAGGACCAATTGACACAGACCCTGAAGATCTCATGTTATTATTGCAGGAAGACCATGGCATGGTAGGTTCTGATTCCACAGATGGAGCTGATGTAGCAGTGGAAGAAAATTCTGAATTTTCTGAGATCTGGAAGTTATGAGATCTCAGTTCATCTAATACATCCAATTGGAAAGTGATTTGCTCCTGACAAAAATACCCTCTTGGAATGTGGGTAGCATCGAAGCAAATTATCAGCCACCCAGAGGACAAGATTAAGATCCAGATGGGAAAAATGCATATAAGCCTTGTGCTAATTATTAACCTTTGTAGGCACATGGCTCAAAGCACTGAAGAGGTTTTGAGACCCCAAGTCATCTTAAGTGCTTCTCATCTGAAAACAGAAGTGTCCCCAGTGTTAAGCAATGTCCCCTTTCTCCTCTCTCCTCAACTTTCTTTCTCAGAGGCACGAGATGGAGGATTGGGTTTGAGCTCAGAGAAGTCTCAAGGCCTAGTCAATTCTCTGTAGAGAGAAAGGGCTCTTACCTAGCATCTATCTTGGCCTTGAAGCCCAGGCTTGAATGGGAGTGTTCTGCCATCTTGGGAGAGCCGCTGGTCCCACTGGTGAAGTAGATGGCAGCTGCTTCTTGGCTTCCTGTCTCCACACAGCGATGAGCACTGGATGCCTCTCTGACAGACACACAGACTGCCACCTGCTCAGATCTGGCCTGGACTCCAGATCCCATGGTGGCCCATTTTTCCCCACCTTCCCGAATGCTGACAAGGCAAATCTTCAGAGTGAGGGTTATGAGTGGTTAAGATCATGGGATTCTGAGTCGTCAGACTTGGGTTTGAAAACAACTCAGGTTTGTTATTTTGTTGACTATGTAACATTGAACTCATTATTGAACTTCTTTGAGACTCGATTTCCAAATCTGTGTAATGGGACCAAACAACACCTGTCTCGGAGAGTTATCATGAAGGTTAACTCTAACACAAATGCAAAGAGCAACTTGCTTAGGAAGAACTCAGTGTATATTGTGATTGAATGGTTGTTAAGAGCCTGTAAAGAGCTTAGCATGATGCCAGGTGCATAGGTGTTGAATCAACAGTGTTCTCCCAATATTCCCTTGGCACCCTCTTCTGTTCCCTTCAGGGATCCACACCTCTGTCTCTAGGATATCTCCTCCAGTGTCCTGATTTTGTGTCTCTCAATGATGGCCTCATGCTAAGTTTACTTCTCTGGCGTTATCTTAAAGACCATGCCATTAGAAAGGAAAAGCTTACATTCTCCATAGGAGTTTCCTAAGGTATGTGTCTCTGATGGAGGGATATTAGGCATGTGACAAAGAAATTCATTCTTCCAGCCAGTCCTGCTATAGACTGTTGCAACGACACAGAGTCCTCTGTCTTTGAGAAGACCAGCTTAGGGATATAGATGATGGGAAGAGGAGTCTAGAAACCATCTCTTATTTCACTGCATACGCTCTTGGCTTCATCTCTGATTCCAGCCATGGTTGCAGTGAACAGTTCTGGGCAGGTTTCAACCCTCTTGGTGCTGACAGCATGTTGTTTCAAGTGTGCACCTTGAGTGATTCACTTTCTGCCCAGGGGTTGCTCTGCTGCCACCACGGCATGGGACTCTGTGCCCGCTCTGCAGCTTGCATGCACAGCCACAAGTGTAGGGTAGTTAACACCATTTGGAGATGCCTTAACCATGGGATTAGGTGCTGATGGGTCCGTGCTTGTCAGCCTTTATGGGAAATCCTGAGAAGCACTCTATATGCTCCTCATAAGGCCCCTATGGGATCAAGTCCCACTTGCAGTGACTCGATAGCAAACCCTTGTATTGGGTTTTTCATCTTCCTTGCTGCGTGCTCCCCAGTCCCTCCCCTCTGCTCCCTGGGCCACTCAAATAAAGCGTCTTCACAAAAGTGTTCGCTTCAGTTTCCACTTTTGGGGAAAGCCCAGGCTGATATTCAGATACTCACTGCAATAGTGTCTTGAAGTCCAGCCACCCATCCCGCCTTTTCTCAGACACCAATAGCTTAGTTTTCAGAGCAGGGCAGTCCGGTGCCACTGTGTCCACTGCCTCAGCTACTTCATCACCAGCCACAATGGCCCTGGCCTTAGACACTTGCAGCCTGTAGAGAATGTCTTTGGCTGTCATCTGGATAGTCGCGGGCATGAAGACGAGGCCTGGAGAAGACAAATGGTGTAGGGAGATCTAAAAGGAGGGATGGGTTGTCTTCTTCTCTAGAAAGGCCTGATGTAAATAGCCAGCAGTGAGCAAATGGGTGAGAGGAAGTTGGGATAGTGATGACCAATGTTTGAGCCCATTGTTGAGACTATTGTGTCAACCCATCTCAATGAGAGTTTCCCTCATTTTTGCTGACCCTCTGCTTTGCCAAACATGATGTCCTTCTCTAGCAATTGGTTTTGCCTGATAACATGTCCAAAGTAAGCAAGATGAAGTCTCACCATTCTTGGTTTTAAGGAGTATTCCAGTCAGGAGTACCAACAATGAAGGAACGAAGGATCAGAGAAGGATTCGAACCCAGGATGACTCTCAAATTTCCCTCTCCATCTTGGATTTGTGCCCTTATATCAAAATTCTTACTTCTCATCTCTTCCTGAACATTATACGGAACCTCCAACACAGCAGTTGCCAAACTGAACTTGTCATCTTTCCCTGACACACCCAACCCACCTCTCTGCCTGTGTTCCCTAGTTCAGTGAAAGACAGCAACACTTTCCCCGTTGCCCAAGCATCTGTAAATTTTCTATCTCCCTGGCCTTCTTCCACTGCCATGTGCCATTCATCACAAATCCCTATTATCAGTTTCCCCCTAATTGTCTCTTAAATGCATCCACTTGTCTTCATCTCCACCATCCTATTCAAGTTGAAGCCATCAGCATGCCTCCTCCTATCTGGGTTCCCCTCTCCCACTCTTGTCTTCCTTCATCCCATTCTCTATGTAGCATACTGAGTGACATTTTATAAACAGAATTTGATCATGCCACTCAATCCATCAATGTCCTCCCATTCCTCACCAGAAAAGGGCCAGCTCTTTACCATGGCCCACAAGGCTCTACCTGTTTAGCACTTGCCATTTTCCAGGCTCACTTGGACTACTTTTTCCTTGTTACCTGGACTCCAGGCACATGAACATCCTTTCAGGTTCTTAACATAGTTTTCAAGCTCCCCCTCCCCTCTGTCTTCACATACACTGTTGCCCCTGCTTGGAATCACTCCTCTTTGCCTCCTCTTCTTGCTAAATCTTACTTATCCTTGAAATCTCAGTTCAAATATCACTTTCTCAAGATGTCCATGACTCCCTCGGATTAGTTAGTTCATGTGGCCTTTTATAACAGGGTTGGCAAACTTTTTCTGAAAAGGGCCAGATAGTAATAGGCTTTGTGGGCCAGAAGGTATCTGTTGCAACTACTCAACTCCGCTGTTGTAGTGTTAAAGCAGCCATACACGATATGGAAACAAATGGGGATGGATGTGTTCCAATAAAACTTTATTTGTAAAAAAAGGTTGTAGGCCAGATTTGGCTTGCAGGTCATAGTTTGCCAACCTATGTTTTATAGGTTCTTAAAGCGTTCTCATGCAACTTGTTAAAATTTTAATTAAATAATTATTTGTGCAAGTAACAGTTTAATGACTATCCCCAAAAACCTCAGACTTCTACTCTGCAACACATGGGTTCACCTAATTTGGAATCAAGTTTTCTACTCTGCAATACATAGGGTCACCTAAGTTGGAATCAACTGAAAAGAACTGGTTAGGCTTTTGGTTTTTCTCCAAAGATCTGTAAGTTCTATGAGTACATGGACCATGTTTTGTTCATCTTGTATTAACAATCTCTAGTATAGTACTTGGAGCCCTGGTGACACAGTGGTTAAGAGTTCGGCTGCTGACCAAAAGGTCGGCAGTTTGAATACACCAGCCACTCCTTGGAAACCCTATGGGACAGTTCTCCTCTGTCCTATAGGGTCGCTATGAGTCGGAATCAACTTTACGGCAACAAGTTTGGTTTTGGCTTTTGGTTTATAGTGCTTAGGATCCTTGGTGGCACAATGGATAAGCTCTTGGCTGCTAACCAAAGGTCGGCAGGTGGAAACCCCGGCCATTTTTTGGCGTGTTGTTGTTGTTAGTTGCTGTCGAGTTGGCTCCACCTCATGGCGACCTTATATATAACAGAACAAAACGTTGCCCTGTCCTGCACCATCTTCAGGATTGTTGATATGCTTGAGTCCATTAGTGTAACCACTGTGTGTTTTGAGAGCCTTACAACCTAGGGGGCTCATCTTCCAGCACTATAATGGACAATATTCTATTGTGATCCTCAGGGTTTTCATTGGCTAATTTTCAGAAGTAGATTGTAGGCTTTGCTTCTTACTCTGTCTTAATTTGGAAGCTCTGTCCCCATGGGTGACCCTGCTGATGTTTGAAATGCCAGTGGCATAGCTTCCAGCATCATAGCGGCATGTAATCCACCACAGTACAACAAACTGATGGATGGGTGGTGGCACAGTTTGCTTAACTAAATGAAAGAAGGGTGGTATCTTTGTCTGAGGAGAGCCAGCATGCCCTATGGAGGGGGCTTCTTGGGGAGAGGTTGTCGTATTTTCTTGTGCTCAGTTCCCTCTACAAAAGAGACAGTATCCCCCACCCTGGTGAACAATTACCAACCTGCTCGAATGCAGCCCAGGATCACCAGCCACCACTCAGGCACTCGGGGTAGCACCACTGCCACACGATCCCCACGCTGTAGGCCACTGGGCCCCGAGAGGACATTTGCTGCCCGCTGGCTGAGCTCACTCAGGTCCCTGAAGTTCCACTTCACTTCATCCCCATCACCACTGACCCACCATAGGGCTGGACCTGGGGGTCGCTGGCCAGCCTGAAGAAAGAGAAGGCCTGCAGATTCTGGAGGGCTGGTACACAATCAAGGAGCCCTGGTGGCACAGTGACAAAGCACTCAGCTGCTAACCCAAAGATCAGTGGTTTGAACCTACCAGCTGCTCTGTGGGAGAAAGATGTAGCAGTCTGCTTCTGTGAAGATCACAGCCTTAGAAACCCAATGAGACAGTTCTACTCTGTCCTAAGAGTTGCTTTTTTTTTTTTTTTTACTGGGTACACAATCAGGTAGGGTAAATCCCCAAACTTGGGATTGCCAAGTCAGTGCTTTTAAAGATTTTTGGTCTCAAGATCGCTTTACACTCTTAAAAATTATTAAAAACCCTAAAGCTCTTTTATGTGTATGGGTTATATTTATCAATATTTACCATATTAAAAACCAAAACTGAGAAATTTTTAAAATGTAGGCTTTTAAAAAATGCTCATTATTAAAAAAACCCAAACCAGTTGCTGTTGAGCCAATTCCAACTCATGGAAACCCCATGTGTTTCAGAGTAGAACTGCGTTCCATAGGGTTTTCAATGGCTGTGACCTTTCAAAAGTAGATTGCCAGCTCTTTCTTCCAAGGTGCCTCTGGGTGGATTTGAACTACCAACCTTTTAGTTAGTAAGTTAGCGCTTAACCATTTGCACCACCCAGGGACTCCACAATAAATAACATATTTTTATAAAAATTAACTATACTTTTCAAAACCCGTAAACAAAAAACCCATTGCCATCGAGTCGATTCCAACTCATAGCGACCCTGTAGGACAGAGTAGAACTGTCTCATATGGTTTCCGAGGAGTGGCTGTGGATTTGAACTGCCAACCTTTTGGTTAGCTGCCAAGTTCTTAACCACTGCGCTACCCAAAACAAACAAACTAAAAAATACTGAGAAGAGTGGCATTGTTTTACATTTTTGCGAATCTCGTTAATGTCTTCCTTAATAGAAGACAGTTGAATTCTTTTGTCTGCCTTTGCCTTTACTCTGTTATGATTTCACACATTGTGTAGCTTTTGGAAAATACCATTGCACATTTATGAGAGAATGAGAGTGAAAAAAGCAAATGTCATCTTATTTTTATTCTGAAAATAGTTTTGATTTCACAGATCCCCTGGAAGAGTCTTGGGTATCCTTTGGAGGTTTCTCAATCACAGAGAACAACAGTGCAAAGTGAAAGAGTAAATGTGTTAGTAATTTTGTTGGCTACTTCAAAATTCTTCTCCATAGGAGTTGTACCATTTTCCACTTTACCTATAATGTAGGAAGGGGTCTATTTCCTCACAGCCTTGCTAACATAATGTGTTGTCAAACTTTTATATTTTGACTAACATGATAGGCAAAACATTATTTCAGTGAAGTTTAATTTGCATTACTGTTATTAGGAAGTTGAGTCATTTTTCTTATGTTTAAGAACTATTTGAATTTACTTTTCTGTGGACTGTCTGTTCATGTACTTTGCCCATTTTTATGTTGGGTTGTGTCTTTTTAGTTTTGATTCCTAGATGCTCTTTCTGTATTAGGGATATTCGCTCTTTTACAGTGATATGAGTTGAATATTTTTTCTCAGATTGTCGTTTAGTTTTTTGGCTTTGCTTATGGTGTAGTTTGCCAATGCAGAAGTTTTTTATGGTTCATGTAGCAAGTTTATTCAATCATTTCTTCTGAGTCATGATGGTAAGGGGTTTCTCCATTACTCTAAGGAGGTATAATTTTTAAAGAAAAGCCAGAAATAAAAAAATTTTATCTGAAAGTGTTCAATTTTAAAATGTTGACTGATTTATTTTTATTTTTAATTTTTTTTATGAGTATCATTCACCGTGGACCACCTTCAGCCTACAGACCTGTCATTTGCAATCTTGCACTAAGATTGTGCCTCATGTTGGTGCTTCATGCTAACATGACCCTACCTTTGAGCACCATTCTTTTAAATCTGTGCTGCTAGATCTACCCCGTCTTATACCCTAGCCAGAATGAGTCCTTCCGTCCTCAGAAAGGCCCACGGGACTTCAGCTGAAGGCAATAGTGTATCAGTAGTGCATGGGGTAGAATTCTGGAAGCCCAGGGCTGGAAAGAAACCTTAGAAATTTCTGCATCACACTCTTTTGCGAATGTCTGCTGTTTGAGCCCTTTTTATAATCCCTGCCTAGTGGTCCTCCTACTTGCACACCCCTAATGGCAGGGACACATAACCTCCTGAGAAGACTGACTCCATCTTTGGTCAGTGTGGATTTCTTCTTATTAAATCCAAATCCACCTTCCCTACAGGTCCTGGGGGGTCAAACAGAGCACGTGGAATGTGTGTAGGCAAATCATGTCAGATGCCCAAGAGTCACTAGATTGCTGTGCCCTGCACCAGCCTCCGAGGGGCGTCTTTCTGCCAAGCCCATGCTCTTCCTCTCCCACTCCATGGGACCTCCATGGAAGACAGGCATCTTGTTCATAGCTATGCCCCCCCATCCCAGCCCTGTGCCTGTCACAGTGCCTGGCACATAATAAGTGCTCAATAAATGGTTTTTGAATGAATAGATGAACTAATGAACTCAGCCAAATTGTCCAGCTCTGTCCCTCTTCTCCATCCCTCCCTGTTACCTTTTCCATGTCAGCCCAGTGATCCATCACATTGCTAGCAAAGTTAAACTTGGCAGGCAGTTCCTGGTTGCCCCATTGCAGTGGGGTCAGTTGCCTGGCATGAATATGAAGAGCATGGTTGAACATATGAGTGCCCCATCGTTTGCAAAGGCCCTGGAGTTTCTGCAGCCAATGCATGGTCAGACCTGTGAAAGAAAAGGAGACACAGGTGAGCCCTTCCTGCATTACTAGCCATCAGCTGTTTAAGGAGATTCATCCCGACTTTACAGAGTTCTTCCAGGAATTTCTGAGATCGTATGTTTTTGCATACGAGTGAATTGACACTTGGCATCTATTTCAATGTCCTTTCCATCTGCCATTCTCCAACAGCACAGCAGGATTTAGACCAGTCTAGATCCTACTTCTCTAAGTACTTCTGACAGTTTTATGAACACTCAATTCCATGGAATAAATCTCTTGGTGCTGAAAATACAGTGATGTGGTAGATTGAACTATTGTTTCCCACAATTTGCTCCTTCCCTCTAGTAGGAAGTATATCCTGGGGGAAGACTGTATATCCACTCCTATCTTAATTATCTAGTGCTGCTATAACAGAAATACCACACGTGGGTGGCTATAACAAACAGAAATTTATTTTCTGACAATTTAGGAGGCTAGAAGTCTGTATTCAGGATATTGGCTCTAAAGGAAGTCTTTCTCTGTCATCTCTGGGGGAAAGTCCTAGTCTTTTCAACTTCTGTTTCCTGGCTCCTTGAAAATCTCCATCTAGCTTGGAATCTCTCTTCCCTCATCTCTGCTTCCTCAATCTATTGCTTTTATATTTGTAAGAGATTGACTCAAAACACAACCTACGCTAATCTTGCCTCATTAACATACAAAGAAAATGCATTCCCAAATGGGATTATAACCACAGGCATGTTTTTGTTAGGTGCTGATGAGCTGGTTCCAACTCATAGTGATTCTGTGTACAATAGAACAAAACACTGCTTGGTCCTGCACCATCCTCATGATCATTGTTATGCTTGAATCCATTGTTGCAGCCAAGGTGTCAGTCCATCTTGTTGAGGGTCTTCCTCTTTTTTGCTGACCCTCTACCAAGCATAATGTCCTTCTCCAGGACTGGTCCCTCCTGATAACATGTCCAAAGTATGTGAGACGAAGTCTTGCCATCCTTGCTTCTAAGGAGCATTCTGGCTGTACTTCTTCCAAGACAGATTTTACAACATGTATTTTTTGGGGACACAATTTAATCCGTAACAACTCTTCATGGACTTTGGCTTGCTCGTGGCATATGCTTTGGTCCGTGAGATGTGAGTTGGTCAGAGACTCTTGCATTTCTGTCCTCTTCATAAGAATAGCATATCCCAGCTGGGTACTGTACCTTTAGCCTGGGTACCAGAATGGTAAGGCATGTGGAGTTGAGCTGAGCCCAGCACAGCCACAGTCAACCCACAGACTCATGAGGAAGAAATATGCATGGTTGTAAGCCACTGAGATGTTCAGGTTTTTTTTTTTTACTGAAGCAAATGCTGACTACTGCAAGTAACATCTATTTCCTCCACTTGAATCTTGACTGATACATCTTAAATATTAAGCACCTGGCACATAGAATAAGTTTATACATTATAGCTGGTGTAATTATTGTTTCCATCTGTGCACTGGCTCCAGAGAAAGTAGTTCCAAGTCTGTATGGGCTTGTCTCTGAGTCCTTGGTAGAGGCACAGAACTCAAGTCTAATGACCTTTGATTCAAGGAATCTAGTCAAGAGTCCCACCAACTGGATGGATTGATTCCCGTTCCCTAGAGTTGAGGCAGCAGCAGCCAGAAGGCTCAAGGTCTCTGACACTTATGTCTCCTCTCCTATTTTCTTACCAGCTCTTCGGCAGGAATATATTGCCTTTGTCTGTACTGTCCCCTGTCTCTTTTCATGGAGGGCTCTTTCTCCTTCTTCTGGTCTTACCTCCTCAGAGAGAGACCTCCTTCCCTTGACCACCACCAAACTCCCATCCCCTTCGACCACCCTTGATAACCTTTTGTCATGCTAAAGATACCCTTTCCTCTGCCCAGCATTGCATCCCCACCAAGACCTGGCAGACATTCCTTTTCGCCCCCCACCCCTAGGGATTGCACACTGCTTCTTTCTGGAGGATTTTCTCTTTCCTGGGTAATGCAAATTGTTTGTGCTTGACTACTAACCAAAAGGTTGGCAGTTCAAGGACCCAGTGGCAGCACAGAAGAAAGGCCTGGCAATCTGCTTCATAATGATTATAGACAAGAAAACCCTATAATGTATACTCTCTCATCTCCTTGAACCCTTTTCACACTTGCCCTGTTTTCCGCTTACTCTCAGTCTCTATGCTCATTCTTCCTCATCTTCTTTATCCACACTCACTCCCTATATGTTCACATCCAGTCTCTTGGCTTAGATGCCCACTGCCTTGCTGATACCTCCAGCCTGGATCTCTCTCCTGCATTCCTAATCTGCATGGCATCTCTATTTGGGTATCTAGTAGACATCTCAAATATACTTTGTCCAAACCTGTGCACCTGATATTCTCCCTCCCTACAAATCATCTCACCCTGTCTGCTGTTCTGTCCATCTCTGTGAATGGCAACTCCATTCTTCCAGTTATTCCAACATCAAACCTGGGAATCTTCCCCAACTCTTCTCTCTCAGACCTCACATCTGTTCTGAATGCAAATCTAGTCAGTTCCACCTTCAAATGATATCCAGAATCCAATCCATTCTCACCATCCTCACTGTGCCTGCTTTGGTCCAAGCCGCCAAGGTCTCTCCACAAGATTATTGAAGTGGACTCCTAACTTGTCTCCCTGCTTCTGCCTTCTCCTTCTTGCAGTCTATTCTCAACACAGCAGCCAGAGTAAGCCTTACTTAAAACACAAGTCACACCATGGACAGGTAGTCACCGACTTACGACAGGATTCCATTCCGATGACTCCATCATAAGGCGGTTCTGATGTAAGTCAAATACCTCATTTTTTTTTTTTTTACCTGTCATTGTTATTGCCTTTTATTATCAGTATTTTTTTTCCAGGTAGGCAAATATGCCTTATATTTTTAAATTTTTGGTCATTACTGGCAGTCTGACTTGTTAAAAAACAACAACAACAACAACAAAAAACTGCTTTGCTGATTCATCCCAGTAGTGGCTCAAGACACTTCAGTTCTGTAAGAATCAAGTAAATTGTTTTAAATACTTTTCTTTCTTTTTTTCATTGTTTGCTTTAGATGAAGGTTTACAGAGTAAATTAGTTTCTCATTAAACAATTAACACACATATTGTTTTGTGGCATTGGTTCCCAGCCCTGCAATGTGTCAACACTCTCCTCTTCCCGACCTTGCGTTCCCCATTTCCATTAGTCCAGCTTTCCTGTCCCCTCTTGCCCTCTCGACTTTGCCTGGGCTGGTGTGCCCATTTAGTCTCGTATAGGTGGTTGAGCTACATGTATTATTGTTTGTTTTATGGGGCTGTCTAATCTTTGGCTGAAGGGTGAACCTCAGGAGTGACTTCATTGCTGAGCTAAAATGGTGTCCAGGGGCCATGCTCTCGGGTTTCTCCAGTCTCCGTCAGGCCAGTAAGTCTGGTCGTTTTTTGTGAGTTAGAATTTTGTTCTACATTTTTCTCCAGCTCTGTCTGGGACCCTCTACTGTGACCCCTGTCAGAGCAGTCAGTGGTGGTAGCCAGGCACCATCTAGTTATGCTGGACTCAGTCTGGTGGAGGTATCAGTATCTTTATAAATCTGTCAGTTTTTTAAACAGTAAATCATAAAATTGAACATCTATGAGTGAACATCTGAGAATGATAACATCAGCAAATTACACACTGCAACATATTACTAATGATAAAATTTCCAAAAAAGAAAAGAAAAAGGATGGTCGTAAGTGCAGTTCATCGTACTTTGAATACGTCTTAAGTAGGGGACTACCTGTAGTCCTCTGAATAGATGCTTAAGTCTTTGTTATCACCAACAAGGCCCAGCGTGAGGTAGACCCCATTACCCCAATGACCTCTTCTGCAAATACTCTCCCTCTTGCTTCTCCCACTCTAGTCACATGGTCCTCCTTGCTGTTCCCCCAACATGCCAGGCATACCCCTGCCTCAGGGTCTTTGCACTTGCTGTTGCTTCTATCAAAAATTCTTGAACTTCTGGGCAATATGGTGCTATAGTCAGAAGCACCACGCCATCCCTCCACAGAAAATGTAAGAAAAACTAAGTCAAACAGAATCACACGTCAATCCTGAAACCTTACGCATCAAATGAAGAGATAAAGAACTCAACCAAGCACTGAATGGAATAAGAAACTGACTGAGAACAGAGAGTGAGGAGAGATACATGCAGAAGTTCCCTATCAGCTACCACAGCATGGATCTGCCATCTTGAACTCCTATCGGAGATCAGTGAACAGTGGGTACAAGAAAGCAGCTTCACAGAGCTTCCAACAAGAGACAGAACAACTGGTAACCAGCAATATACGCTTTCCAACCCCCACCCTTCTTCACCCCCACTTAGCCTCCTCTGCTTCCTGCAGCCACCAGCTTCACCCCAGTGTTGCTTGGATTTCACCCACCCACACTGGCCAGCTCCCTGAGTGCCTTTTATTGGCTGCTGGTGTTGCTTTTTTCTGCTTCTTTAGATTTCTTCCTTACCTCTCACCACCTCCCCCACCTTTCTGTCAAATACCTGGCTCTGTGTGGCATCTTTGCTTCTTCCTGAAAGGCTGTGAAACACCGCTTGACTCTGAAACTGCTTCACAGCCTGTGCCGCCACGGTGGTGGGACCCCCCCACCCGGCCCTTTTTTGTTTGCTCTGATTTGTTCGTTTTGATTTGTTTGTTTTCTTTTTCTTTTGTCTGCTTGTAAGCCCCTCCTAGGTGGGCAGTACCACGCAGCTTGGAAGCTACTCCCTTACTCTGCGCAGATGCACAGGGACATCCCTGAAGCATTTCTTTTTTCATGTTTCTTTTTTGTTTGTTTGTTCCCTTCTCTCTCTTATTCCGTTTTTGTCCTTCTTCATTTCCAGTTTCTCAATTTATTAATTTTTTTTCTTTTACCCTTTTTCTTTTTTTTTATTTTTGTTTTTCCCATTTCTCAATCTCTCATCTCTCCACTCCAATAGCAAGCTCCCTTAGCAGTCTTTTTTGTTTCTGTGTATG